GGATAAGAAAGTGAGCTGGTCCTTCCCTGGTCACTGCACCTCCTTTGCTGGGGGCTGGGGGCTGAATCTAGGCTGCTCCTGGGGCATCTGCCTGGGTGGGCAGGGAGCTGGCTGGCCCATGGGGATCCACTGCTTTGGCACAGATGAGCCCTGGAGCAGCCTTTGGGGGTCTCCTGAGAGAGTCCGCTGCAGCAGGCACAGCACATGGAGCGGCCTGGCCTGTGTCCAGCCGTATAGCTCATGCCAGAGGGAGGCTTCCCGATGATGACGATGACAGCATAACTGTGCTGTTGTGAGAGACATGGTCCAGCCCTGATTCTCAGGTCGGGAAAGTGAAGCTGACGGTGAAGTCAGTCTGCCTGGTCCCTGGGTGAGAGCATGAAGGAGCAGGATTTGCAAGCCCAAGGGCTTAGCTCCTGGAGCCTCAGGGACTGGTTGGTCTTAGAGAAGAGGCTGGAGGAGGGTACACTTATTAGGGACGAGGCAGCCTGGGCCAGTGTGTCCGACAGGGAGGAGCCAGGCCTCTGTGGGGAGCAGCAGAGTGAGGCTGGTCACTGGGGAGAGAAGGGAAGAGAGGTTCTGGGTGCACAGCCCAGCCGCCCTGCTCAGGGGCCCACTCTCCCCAGAGATGACTCCCAGGGTCTGGCAAAGGCAGGGGTGGCTAGCTCCAGGGAGTAAGCCCCTGCTCTCCCAAGGGCCATAGGGCCTGTCACTCCTCCTCCTGAGCTCAGAGTTGATTCCCCAGATGCCACCCAGGTCGGCTGGGCCAGGTACCCAGGAACCCTGTGGCGGCCTCCCTGGCCAGGTGCCCAGCAGTCGGAGGTGAGCTTCGGCCAGCAGTGGTGGGACAGGGCGGTGCCTGCCTGCCGCCCTGTCTTGGGTGTGTGGGGAGCTAGTGGGGGCCAGTGGTTTCTCCATTTATCTGGGGAGACAGACATTCTTCAAGCTCTAGACCTCAGGGTCTGCCAAGCAGTGGGCACTCTCAGGCCTTTTCTGAGGTCAGCATGCCTGGAGCCTGGAGCCACCTGGGGCCTGGTGCCTTCCATGGCAGCTTCAAGGCTATAGGCCCCTGACCTTCCAGACAGTGACAAAGGAGGCCTGATAGGGTCACTTTGTCCCCCTCACAGGGACAACTTCACAATTGGGGGGGCTAGGGGTACCCCAGACACAGTGCTGTAGGTGAGCCTTGGGCCCCGCCTACCGCCACACCATTGGGTGCTGGGGCCTTTTGTCCCTAGAGGCCTCCCTGCCAGGGGAGTTTTCTGAAAAGGGGCACCATCTTGGGCAAGTCTTGGGGAGTGGGACAGTTGGTTCCTGCCTGCAAACCAAGCCTTGGAACTGAGCCGGCCAGGGCCTGGGAGAGGCTGCAGAGGCAGGGCTGGGGGGCCTTATACAATTTCATTGGGAAAAGATTTTAAGTTTACAGAAAAGTTGCAAGAATAATCCAATGACCAGTATATTCTGCACTTGGATTCACCAGTTTCCAACATTTTGCCATATTTACTGTCTTCCTGTCTCTCTCTACCCACCTGCCTCTCTGTCTGGTTGCTGAACCATTTGAGAGTAAGTTGTAGACATGCCCCTTTGCGCCTAAATATGCTCAAGAACAAGGGGGTTCTCTCACATGTCCACATTGGGAAATGAACACGGATGCAGTACTGTTATGTAAACCACAGCCTTACTCAGCTTTCACCAATGGACCTGAACTGTCGTTTATAGCAGCCCCTCTGCCCCATCCAGGAACATATGCTGCATTTAGCTGTCACCCTTGGTCTCTCATCTGGAACAATTCCTCAATCTTCCTTTGTCTTTCATGACCTTGACATTTTTGAAAACCCAGTTATGTTATAACTGACTCCGAATTTGGGCTCGGTTGATGTTTCCTTACGGTTTGCCCCAGGTGGGCACTGTTGGCAGGAAAGGCCAAGAACTACCCTTGCATCTTTCCAGAGCATCCCTGGGTCAGTCAGGATCAGGTATGGCGGGAGCCTGGAGCCTGCCTGCCGCCCTGGTCTTGAACTTTCCTGAGTGGCTGGGGCCGCCTGTTCAGGAAGGATGGATGGGCCCAGGGATCGGGTGGTGCTGTGGGGCTCCTCGGGACCAAGATCCTTGGGGTGGGGGGTGGGTATTGGCATGAGCTGCCTGGGGCCGAGCTAGGATATAAGGCTGGGGTTATCACACAGGCCTCTCAGCCTTGTCCCTTCAGTTTTTTGGGGCCCTGGGTACCCGAAACCCTTGCTAACCCCCACCCATGAGCAAAGAAAGGCTCCTGCAGACTCTGATGTGCTATTGAGTTTCAGCTTGTATGGGGGCAGGGGGACCACCAACACCCCTCTGGGCCTGTTCTGTCTGGAGACAGTATGTGCTGGGCTTAGTTCCTTGGGGTAGAGAGGCCCCTTGGGCTTTGAGTCTCAGACACACATGGGCGTGTGTGGGTGCTGGGCCCCATGTCCTGTGGGCCGTATGGCTTCACCCAGGTGAGGGCCAAGGAGAAGCAGGGCTCTCAGTTGCCTCACCTGTGACACGAAAGGCTGGAGTCGTGCTGGTGAGCCCCGGGGCCCCGAGGACAGGGCCATCTCCCCGCGGGGAGCCATTCCTGGAGGCAGCCTGGGCCCAGCGCCTGTCCTTGGCCTTGCAGCCGAGGACCCGCAGGAGC